TAGACAAATAACATTCTTTTCTCTCTGGGACTTTGTAACTATGGGATTTGAGATTAACACACAGATGAATAAATACAAAATTAATGTTATTTCCCCTTATGGAAGTCTGAATAAAGATAGTCAAGCAGAAATAGTAAAATGCCTGGTTCTACCTGGGGAGAAGGTGAGCAACAGGTGACATTTGACTTTATAGACTTAGTAGTCATTCCAGGGTGATAAGGAATGTGGAGAGGAATTCCAGGCAAAAGAACTGCAGCAATGAAGGTATCAAGGTACAGATTCATATCCAAGGAGGAGCAAGTACTTCAATATGGTGAGACCATAAAACATGGGAAAGAGTGGGTATAGACCAAAGTCAGAACATAAAAGTTGAATTAAAAGATTTCAAAACCATTATTTACATAGCTTGCATTTACTGTTTATCTTCTAAGCAGTGGGAAGTCATTAATGTTTTTAAGATAGGAGAGATTGGATTCCACTTTTGTTATAGAAAGTTCACTCTGAAAACAATAGGAAGAATCCATTCGAGATTTCAAAGTCAATTAATAGTAAGAACAAACATTTATTGAATGCCTACCATCTACCAAGGGCTGAGATAAGCCCTTCACGTGTATTACTTTAATTCTCAGATCAACCTCAGTGATTGGTGCTATTATTTTGCCCAGCTGATAGATGTTAAGTTCAAGGTCATACTGTTAATAAGTGACAGACACAAAACAGAAACCCAGAGAATCAGCCTTTAGAAAATACAGGGAAAATGGACAACAAAAAGGAGATAAAAGTTCCAACACATAGTCCTCATCAAATAAATGGAAAGGAAGATTAGGAGCCTAAAATGCCCCCAGGACTCACTCAGATGACTTGATGGATGATGATGTGAATCACTAGTGTAGGGGAAGGAAAACTCATGGAGAGATCTGGAAAGCAGGTGCACATGTGAATCTGGATCTCAAGGGAAGGTCAGAGTATAAGATGCACATTAATAAATCTCTAAATGGGAGAAGTCCTAGGGGAAAACAAGATCAAGCATTGGCAGAAGAGTATAAGGGATGACTTTTGTCCTCCCCAAGAAGCATTGAAGCCCTAACTCTCACCTTGTGAATGTGACCTTATTTGGAGATAACACAGGATCCTTGCAGATGAACAAGTTGAGATTGTTGGAATGAGTCCTAATCCAATATGACCATGTGGTTAGAAAAGGAGAAATTTAGACATACACAGGGAGAATGTCATGTGAAGACAGAGGCAGATATTGGGTTGGTGCATGTCCAAGCCAAAGAATGGCAAAGATGGCCAGCAAATCATCAGAAGCTATGAGAAAGAAGCATGTTTGTAGCCTTCAAAAGGAAACAACCCTAATGACACCTTGATCTCAGACTGGGGAATAATACATTTATTTTGTCTAAGCTACCAGTTTGTGATAATTTATTAAAGAAACCCAAGGAAACTGATATTAATGGGGAGAGGGGTCCATGTGCACAAAGGATTGAGTGATGACTGATGATGATTGAATGAAATTCTTAGTGCAAAAATGAGTTTGCCAGGATGGGGTCATAGCTCAATGGTAGAGTGCTTGCTTGCATGCATGAGGCACTGGGTTTGATCTGTAGCACCACATAAAAATAAATAAATAAATAAAAGATATTGTGTCCATCTACAACTAATATGTGTGTGTGTGTATATATACACACACAAGATTATGCCAAGAAAAAAAAATATATATATATATATATTCCAAGATTATTCCAAGAAAAAAAAATGAGCCTGAAAAGTCTCTGTAAACTTCACTATTGCAAATTTCAATTGGTAGCAATCAAAGGCCCAGAGGAATGATTAGCTCTGTTTTGTGTTTTTAAATGGTAATGTTCTAAAAAGATATCAGTAGTGGCAAGATTATTTTTTAATATACCAAAATTATTACAATAAAATAAGCAGAGTAACTGGATTGGCAAAAGTTAAAAAATTGTGGACAATATCTGTAGTTAAACTCTGTGTTGAGAAACTCACTTGGTCACCTGAGAACAAATTAGTGAGAGCTTCTAAGAACCATGTGGTACCAACAACCATGCAGGACAAAGTAGAGGGATAACCTTGAGAAGGGAACTACCTAACCCATAATAAGTACTCACTGGCAAGTACAGTGGGTCAGGAGGAGCAAGAGAGAGTGGGAGGGTGTTCTCCATGACCCAATGCCAGGGTGAGTCCAAAGAGGCTGAAATGCATTGAAGTCCCATTCTATGCAGGTCCTCCAATCTCAAATAACTGATGAACTGAGCCCCCTTCCCAAAACAAGGCTCCATACTGAGCAGAATCTGCTAGGAATAGATTCCAAATTGAGCAGAACAGGATCAACCACAAGAAACGAAAGAGAAGGATCAGAAAGGAAGGGAACAGAGGCAGCTCATGTCACAAAGGAAAAAGTGATCTTATTTTTTATCACTTAATGAGAACAATGAATGAATATGTGCTTGAGTGGTAAAACCAGCAAACTATCCTAAAAATGCTTGAAAACTGAATTAACTTTTAAAACAACAAGAACAAAAAGATCAAAGTTATTATCATAAGAAGAGAATAAGAAAACTATTAAGGTACCTACAGACAATGATAACACACCAGAAAAAAAAAAGCATTCACAAACCAGATTTTTAAAAATGAGTAAAAATTTCAAAATGAGCTGAAAGAAATTAAGAAAATCACAGAATCTATGAAAAAAATGTGAGAATTGGAAAGATTCAAAAAAGAAGTGCATAGAAAAGGTAAGACTTGATAAGAAGGTGGATAGAACTCAACATAGAATTCTAATTTAAAAAAAAAAGGTCAGAGTGAATATTCAACTAAAGGAGATATGGCATGATTCAAATGCTGTAGTTAAAAGATAGATGGAAAAGTGGAAAAGCTTCTAATCAAAAACCATTTTGAAACTACAAGGATCCCAAAGAAACAGACACAGAAAATAAAGAAGATACAACATACATATATAAATAAGAGTCCTCAAAAATAAACACCAAACCAACCCATTAGAAAAAATACTAAACACTCTAATTCAAGAAAACTTACAACTACATATTGAAACTTGAAGCTCTGTAATGAACAGTCAGATCACATCTTTGAGAAAACTGATGCAGAATAGCCTTCATCAAGATACATTCTAGACAGGTGCAGTGGTGCACACTGGAAATCCCAGCAGCTGGGGAGGCTGAGGCAGGAGGATGGAGAGTTCAAGGCCAGCTTCAGCAACTTAGTGAGACCCTGCCTCAAACTATACAAAAAGAAAAAGGCCTGGGCATGTGACTCAGTGGTTAAGCTCCCCTGGTTTCAATCCCTGGTACCAAAACCAAAACAAAATGAAACAAACAAAACATAAAAAAAGAAACAAAATATTCTTTGGGCAGCCAAGCAGAAGGATCCAACAGCTTATAACAGAAAGAATAGCAGTTTTTCTAGCAAACATTTCTGTGACAATTCTTTGTTAGTAAACAAGGAAATGATAGATTTAAAATGTATAAGTAAATAAATAGTAGATTTTTGCCTTCCAGGGAATTTGCATAATTTCTTTTATCCATTCAGCTGTCCTTCCAGTGGAAAAGTTGTTCTGGCTTTTTTATCTTCTGCTTCCTTTCCGTATCCCTCCTGTTGGCATCAGAGAATCTTTGTGCTAGACAAGCACAGTTCTTTCACAGACTCCAGAAGTGGACACCTATCTCCAACCCAAAGTGAAGCTTTAGGGTCTGTGTAACCAAAAGAACCTTATCCCCACCAAGAGCAAGTCTGATCATTGTATAGTGTTGCAAACACACAAGAACTCGGGGACCCTAAGTTTCTTGAGGGATCTACCAGAAAGCAGGCTCCTGACAACCAAATACTGTAGAGACACTGACAAAAGGCCTGGAGAAGTATTATTCTGGTCAATATATGCAAAAGTGTGTTGGACTCAGAATATCACCATTTAGCAAACTTAACTGCAATATCATCAACAGGTGATAATCAAAGAGAAAATCATGATGTGCCTCCTTATGAAAGTAGACATTGTCACCTGCCTAAAATGATCAGACTTGGATCTCATCCAAATTCTAACACTAATTACTCATTTTCAGAAAACATAAAAGACAGGTACATTAACTGCATCATATAATCAACAAAATCAACCCAAGAGAAAATATGTAAGAAGAATCTTTTTTAAATGGAAGGGGAATTCATAGTGTAAAAGAGGTTTAAGATACATATCAAATAATCACCATGTATAGACCCTGTTTAGACTGCATTTCAAACAAACTGCTAAAAATCATGGTAATTGGGAAAATACAAACAGGGAGTACTTATATTAAGAAATTTATATTAAGAAGTTATTTTTGTTATTTGTAAGTGTGGTGATGTTGGTTTAAATTTTTAATAAAATACTTACAGATGAAATAATATGATGTGTGGGGTTTGCTCAAAATAATGTTCTATCAGGAAGTAAGTGCAAGAATATATGAAAGAAGATTATCAGTAAATATTTAATCTTGGTGAAAAGTATAGTGGAATCATTCACTTTGTTTTTATTTCTTTTATATATGTTTGAAATTTTCAGTATTATGAAAGGGATTTTTTAAAGCACTAACATATATATATCAGTACTTCAGAGTTACATTGTGTCCTAAGAGAAATTTACATCATGGTAACTATTGGGCACTCAGAGAATATGACTAGAAACAATATGTGTAGGCTTTCAAAGTAGCATATCTATTCCATACCTGAGGTCCCATCAAAATTCACCTCACTCTTATATTGCAATTCAATGGAAGGCCTTTCAAAGGGGGACTGAAATTGTGGTGACTTCTAAAAGTCAGCATTAAAGGATAATGGTACTTGTAACTTTGAGGTTTAATTGTTAAGTCACCATGTTAATTGTTTCATGTGTGTCCTTGCCTACGGTGACTTGCAGAAGAGAAAAACAACTCTGGAGTTGGAATTACAAATGGACACTCATCTCTTTCTTGTTCTCTATGTTTTCCTTCTAGATATTTCCACACAATATACTTAGGTATTCGCAGCCGACAGAGTGGGGAAAACGACAGATGGAGGTTTTACTGGAAAATGGTGTATGAGTATGCCGATGTGAGCATGCTGCATCTGCTAGCCACCTTTCTGGAGAGTGCTCCACAGCTGGTCCTGCAGCTCTGCATTATCGTCCAGACTCACAGATTACAGGCCCTCCAAGGTAAGGGCTTGCAATTTGGTTTCTGAATCTGGGGAAAGATGAACTGGCTACTTTTGTCACAGTCCAAGAAATTGCCCTTAATGCCCTCCATTGACGCAGCTTGTGGTGTCGGCTGTTTTACACATGATTTGTGAACACTGCATGGTGTTTCGCTCACCATCACTTGTCATGGCTAACTAATTGGAAGACTGATATTTTTGCCCTACAGCTGCCATCTGAGTAGGAAAAAAAAAAACAGACTTTATGATTTTTTACACTTGGTGAATATGGAGATAGAATCAAGGCTTCTGGTTTTTATGATAGAATAATTTTTCCAATGTTTCACAAAGACAGCAATAATTATCACTCTCTAATACATGCATGAGTAATCCCTACCATTTCTCATTTTTTTTTCTGAGATGGTTTTTGTTATGTTGCTCTGGCTGGCCTTGATTTTGCAATTCTCCTGCCTCAGCTTTCCAAAGCAGATGGGATTACAAAGAAGCATCCCTATACAGGGCTCTGCCATTTCTTTTTGACATTAAGAAATGGAAAGAAGAAGAATTAAAAGAAAATGATAGGGATTACTCTAACATTAAAATAATCATATACGAGAATGTTTTCAATGTTTAAAATATGTTATTTATATACTATGAAGTTTTATGAAATGTATGTTATCAGATTAAGATTTTTGTATGGTTTATCTCATCAGTAAAGATGCTCCATTTATAACAGAGCTGCCCTTGTGTTTCCTTAGGACCTGCTGCTCACCTCCATTCTAAAATAATACAGCAGGAATATTAGGCAAACTGGTGGGTAGATAGGTGAATAGATGTGTGTAGAGAAGATGAGTAAGAGGCCATTTTCAGGTAAATGTTTCCTGGTTTTTTGTCAATTCTGTAACTAAATAGATGTTGTTAAGAGGTTAAGGTATTGCATTATACTTGTTTTGTTTAAATCTCAGCAGAGTTCCCTGGGAACTGTGTACAAATATTGCTACTATGTTCTTGGCCTGGCTGGTGTGCTGAATCTCTACTGTGTCCTTGTAACTCTTATGCAAAGAACATGTTAGTTTTGGCTGAGTGCTTTAATTTGAGAGTGAGGCTTGGGGTGCATAGAAAAGAAAGATAGAAGGAGCCCTGGTAGTCATTTACTCAGTCATTTATTTGGAGATTCCTGACCCAACCCTTCCAGACTTCCATTCTGGAAGTTAGAGAAGAGGATTGAAGATATCCATGAGGTGTGCTTCTAAAACGCAAGTTGGAAGAAAAAGAAAGTGAGGAATTTACACAGAAATAGAAGATAAAAGAACAGGGAAGGAAGCAAGGCCATATAAATTAATTGTAGGGGCTTTCCAGGGGTGTATAAGTGGTCATGCAGATGTTCTGGCTCTGGTCATCTTACTGCCTCACTCCAGGGCCTACACAAGCCACTTTATGTCTCTGGGCCCTAGATTTCTCCAAGGTGAAGGCCACACGTTAAACCACATCATCTTCACAATCTTTGATAGCTCTGTTTCATCTTTGAATCAACGAATGCTTAATAGGTGTATGTTACCAGGTAAATGCTTGAGGGGATATCTGTAAATGAAGATACAAATGACATCCCAAGACCACATAAAACTGAATTTCCAACAAAAAAGCTAGTGTTCATCTCCAGAACAGCTTGGCAATTCCTTAGTAGAGTTGGACAATCAGAAACTCTTTAGAAGAGAAAAATCCAAGATCAAAGGTGGAAACTTGCAAGCCACTTCTCCTAAGGCCAAAAGTTCCTGAATGCCTCTACTGGTTTTCTAAAAGATTTTAAAAAATCATTGAGATGTTGTGTCCCCCAAGGTAATGGAGATAGAGAAGGAAAGGTAAGAGAGAATATAAGAAGAGATCACCCTTTTGGTTTAAGAACTTCATGTAAAATTTCAGAGGAAAAAAAATACATATGCACACATATATGTGTCTGTGTGGGTGTGTGGGTGTATCTATGTGTGTGTGTGTGTATATATCTAGTACACACACACACACACACACACACACACACACACACTTATACCCCCAGCTTATACACTAACCTGAGCATTTACATCAGGCTATGGGCTCATATGCCAGACTTTGACCCTGGCAGTGAGGAACCTTACCTTCCAATTTCAGGATGCTGTAGGGAAAATGTGCCCTGTATCACTCTCAAGGTGGTCAAAAGATACATTAATCCAAAGATCAGTAGGATCCATGCAAGACATTGAGCACACGTGAGAAATAAACCCACTAGGTTAATCTTATTGTTGCTGTGTTTTAACAAGGGAGGGGGGTGCTAGAGGTTTGTGTAATGACATCAAAGAGTGAAAATGCATAACCTCAAACAACAACCACAAACCCTCCAGCTAAAAAAGACCAGCCCAGCCATCACTATCTGATCCTTTTGCATTGAAAAAAAAAAAACTATCTTTAGGAAATATGTTCCTGAATGCCCCTCTGCTTACAGATGATCCCACTTACAAATGTACCAGTTTATGAATTAAATTGATGTTGTTTATAAGAACAGAGCTTTTCCTCTCTAGGAAAAGAAAAATAAATGTGATAAAAGAACATAGCTTTATATGTGTTTTCATACATCTTTAGTGGTAAGAAATTCCTGGGATTTGAATGTAAAAATACAACTCTATGCTCTAGATGCAAATAATCAATAGACATGAAATCTGTGATGTATTCGCAAATAGCTCTGAATTAAAATCCCTAAAACATTCTTATTTAGCAGGTAGAAAATGGTCCTCAGTCATTCTGTATGTGACTGTGTTGAAAATTGTTATTTTAGCATAAAAGGAAAATTGCTTCTTTACCCCAATTTCAACCATCTACCACTCTCTAAAGGATACTGTTTCAGAAACGGGAAGAAAAATCAAACAAAAAATATGACATATTTTGTCCATGCACAGTGGCACATGTCTATGATCCCAGCTACTCTAGAGTCTGAAGCAAGAGGATCACAAGTTCAAGACTAAGCTGGGCAACTTAGCAAGGCCCTATCTCAAAATTTAAAAAATCAAAATAAATTTTAAAAAAAAGAACTGGGGTGTGTGACTCAGTGATAGAGAGAAATGTGGAATTTTTTAAATGAAGGCTAAGAATTGCAGTCATCTTGTAGAACTTGGTTAACCCTAAAACACTGTTATCTATGAACATTTTTTCTCAGCTCTCCATATTTGTCGCATCATTAAGTCAGAGATGCCTGATTGTGCTGGAGGCTGACAGGCTCAGGGGAGAATTGCTGAAGCATGATTGTCCTTCAGCTCCTACTGGCCCAGGAAGACAGCACGGCTCCTGCTCTGCGACCAGGAATCAGGGCAGAGCCGAGCCTCAAACCTGAACGTCCAGTTCTATTCATTCCACACGTCACATGAGACATGTTGGAGGGCACTAGCTGCTCTTCGCTGGATCTGAACTTTCCCAGGACCAATGATCTCTGCAGCATAAAAAAACACTCAATGTGGTCCAGCTGCCCACATCACTAGGAGAGCACAGCATGGTTCACCCTGTACTTCCAGACTGTCTCTAGTTCACATGTTGTTATGGTGTTCCAATCTCAATCCCACCAGGAGAGAGAGAGGAAGGAGGCAGGCAGGAAGGGGGAAGACTCTGTTGATAGGTAGAGATAGAAAACAGTGCTCCTACCCTTCTCCATGCAGTGACCTTGGCCTTAGTGTTAAAGATGGGGAGTAAGATGCCGTCCAAGGCCTGTTGATTCTATTTTAAAGCGGCATCTCAGACTCACCCATTTCATTTGTTGTACTTCCCTAGTCAAATCATCTCTATCCTCATCCAGACCCTGGCCAGCCTACTGCTTCTGTCCACCCTTCCCCTGTTCATTCTGTTCTCCCTATACTGGCCAGAGAGATTGTTTAGATTCTGGTCATTCCTCACACACATACTTAACACTTTCAAGGCTGTCCTTAGCACTCGCTGAGAACTAAATCAAATCCCTGCACATTTCAAAGCATCCTCCTCACTGAGCATGACTTTGCATTCATACAATCCTCCTTTCTGTTCTGAGAATGTGCCCATTTTTTTTCCACCTTACTCCTTTTCCATATTGTTACATTCTTTCTGGAATATTCCTATCTCCTCTCCAGAAGCCTGACTAATTGGCACTAATCCTTGAGAATGCAGCTTAATTTCTTCAGTAAGGCCTGTCCTGACCGCCCATTCAATTTTTTGTTCCCTCGTAAGTATTTCATCATAGGGTTCTGAACTTCAGCCTATGACCTCAGGAAACATTCTTACAGTGGCTAGCCCTCAATTTCCCCCATCTACAAGGGAACCATAACAGTGCTTAATTCATAAGATTATCAAAATTAAGTGATATAACAAATGCAAAGTTTGTGGGGCAGATCCTTGATATATAATGCAGGATTTCTTAGCTTTAATGTGCATAGCATCTATCTATCTGCCCAGGATAAATGCAGATTCTAAGTGCAGATTACTAAAATGCAGATTCTGACTACATTTTAGTTGGGGACTAAGTAGCTGTTTGGAGCAGGGAAATGACAAGTGAAATTTTTGATGGCATGTGATAAAGGGAAAAATAACCCAAATCTGAAATCATAAAACTTGAATTAATGCATCTGTGTTAAAAAGAGAAGTACTACTTTGAAGACAGAATGGCCAGATCTTTAGACAAACAGGATCTGGATTAAAAGAAGGCAGAGGTAGGAGTGTATTTGATTGACAGTGAACCTGGTAACAATGAAGACAGGTAGGTCAGGAGGAGAAGCCCACAGGAGAGAAAAATTTGAGACATTTTAGGTCTGAAATGGTGGAGGACAACCAAATTGAGAAGCTCCAAGACTATGGGGGGTGAGGGAAGCAGGCAGTAGTAAAAGTTACCTTGAGTGCAGAACCTTTGCTTCTATCTAGATGGTGCAAACAAATATTGAAGGCTCATGGCCAGGGTTACCCCACCTGACTTTTTTGGATGATCCTGGGAAGCTTTAAAATGATAGAAAGGGCTAACAGGTCTCTGAAGTTGCTTTT